GTACACTGTAAGTAACAATTTGCAATTTGAGATGCAGGCAAAGCCAGGGGTACAATGGAGTAAGGGAGCATGGCGAGGCTAGGCAACCTAGGTAATAAATGAAATCAAAGAAAAGTTGAATAATAAACATAGGCAAATTTAAGCTAATGATTAATAACTATAGATAGTTCAGTAATGACTGTATAATTAAAAAGACCTGAAGAACTACTTAATAACTCAATTAAATAATTTCGGTAAATGACTAGGTAAGAGTAAGTTAAAAATTAAGTCAGAAAATGAACCAAGGAGACTTAGGATACCTAGCCCCACTAGTTGACAGGGGGTTAATTAAGTTAATTCATTGGGAGTGATAAGGTGAGACAAACCACATTGGGAGAGGAAAGTGTTGAGGTTTTCTTCTCTAGTAATAGTAAACATTTTGCCCTCTGCGGTTTTTCTCACCTTTATCAGACCATCTCTAACGAAGCACTGATGAATCGCATCTGGGTTTTGTTGACGGATTTGACGCAGGCGGTAGAGGATTTGCTGTCTGTTCCTGGTCAAGCACTCGTTGATGTATAATCCCTTCCGTTGGGATGCAGCTGTCCGGACTAGATTGGATTTCGTGAACTGGGAAGACAGCTTCAGGCGAATTTTCCGTTGATTTAGACCTGATGGATTCTTTTTGCCTACTCTGTAGGCAGCAATAACGTCAGTTTTGTTTAGATTGAGCTGCAATTTGTTTTTTAAGAGATCCTGAGCTATTTCGACACAATTTTCACCTTCATGTTCCACAGGTATATCTTGGGACGACACGATAACAGAGTCTAGCAGCTTTAGCTGGTCTTGTTCCTCCTGGGAGACGGAACGTTGAGCTGAAAATGTACTGATACATGCAGTCATTTTGCTGAGAGCTTCCTCCTGTTTTTTTAAGGCTTCATCAGTTTTCCGAAGGTTGTTTTCCTCATGGAGATCATTCAAATCATGCTGTAGTTGGTCTTGGCTAGCCTTGTAGTTTCTAATATCCTCGCGGAGGAGGGTTATTTCTTGTTGTTGTTGTTGGAGATTAGCGCGGTTCGCTAGATTCTCGTTGAGAAGACTCAAGATGATAGTATTTTGTGACTCGAGGACCAGGCACAACTTTTTGAACCACTGATTCTCGGTCCAGTTAGTGAATTCCGGTGAGGGACCGGAAGCTCGCTTGAGTTGATTATACTGAGATGCTAGCATGTTCATAGGAGAGGGTTGAGAGGACTCTGCTCCCTTGCTCAATGGGGTGGAGGGGAGGGCAGCCCCGCCACCCCGGACCCCAGAGCTTCCAGACGGAGAAACACGGATATTGTTAGAGTTGGCCGGGATGGATGTCTTGTTAAGGGGTTTGTTGCCCTTATTTCCCTGCACAGTCACATTTTTAGGAGACATGATTGGTTAGAATGGACTGGGGGGTATATGTTGAGAAGAAACTTGCGTCAGGCAGCGCGGTGGCGGCAGCATGCACTGGTACTCACACCGTAGAGGATTGTTTTGAAACTTATTTGAGATGGAATGAGTTGATTTTGGTCGGTTACTTTGGTTTTGCTATAACATGCTTGGGGTAAGAGAAGGAGGGGGAAGAGGAGGGGAAGAGGGGTAGGGAGAAGGATAAACGCCAGGGGTAGAGCAGGGGGAGGGGGGTAAGAGAAGGAAGGGGAAGAAGCAGGGGGAGGGGTAAGAGAAGGAAGGGGAAGAGCAGGGGAAGGGTAAGAGAAGGAAGGGGAAGAGCAGGGGGAGGGGTAAGAGAAGGAAGGGGAAGAGCAGGGGGAGGGGTAAGAGAAGGAAGGGGAAGAGCAGGGGGAGCAGGAAGGAAGAGCAGGGGTAAGAGAAGGAAGGGGAAGAGGAAGGGGAGAGGTAAGCAGGGGGAGGGTAGGAAAGGGGAAGAGCAGGGGGAGGGGGTAAGAGAAGAGAAGGGGAGGGGTAAGAGAAGGAAGGGGAAGAGCAGGGGAAGAGGAGGGGAAGAGCAGGGAGAAGAGCAGAGGAGGGGGAGAAGAGGGGAAGAGGGGAGGGGTAAGAGAAGGAAGGGGAAGAGCAGGGGGAGGGGTAAGAGCAGGGGTAAGAGGGGGGGGGGTAAGAGAAGGAAGGGGAAGAGCAGGGGGAGGGGTAAGAGAAGGAAGGGGGAGAGCAGGGGGAGGGGTAAGAGAAGGAAGGGGAAGAACAAGGGGAGAGGTAAGAGAAGGAAAGAAGGGGAAGAGCAGGGGGAGGGGGTAAGAGAAGGAAGGGAAGAGCAGCAGGGGAGGGGTAAGAGAAGGAAGGGGAAGAGCAGGGGGAGGGGTAAGAGAAGGAAGGGGGAGAGCAGGGGGGAGGGGTAAGAGAAGGAAGGGGAAAGCAGGGGGAGGGGTAAGAAAAGGAAAGGGAAGAGCAGGGGGAGGGGTAAGAGAAGGAAGGGGAAGAGCATGGGGAGGGGTAAGAGAAGGAAGGTGAAGAGCATGGGGAGGGGTAAGAGAAGGAAGGGGAAGAGCAGGGGGAGGGGTAAGAGAAGGCAGGGGCTGAGCAGGGGGAGGGGGTGATGGTCACTAGGCGCGGGTATAAACACTGTCCCACCCGGGCGATGGATACTAGCTGACCGTCGCCTGGTGGGACCCACACGACAACCGTCGCTGCCTCACCAACCTGCCTCCTCCTTGCACCTCCTCCTTCCCCCTCCCCCCTCTTCCTCCTTCCTCCTAGACCTATTCCTTCCTCCTCTACCTCATCCTCCTTCCCTCCTCACCCTCCCTCATTCTGTTCCTTACTCCTCGCCTTCCTCCTCCTCGCCCTCTTCCTCCTTCCTCCTTGCCCAACTCATTTCACCTCTCCTTCCTCCTCGCCCACCTCCTCCTTCCTCTTCGCCCTCCTCCTCCTTCTTCCTCCTCACCCTCCTCCTTCCTCCTCGCCCTCCTCCTCCTTCCTCCTCACCCTCCTCCTCCTCCTCGCCCTCCTCCTTCCTCCTCACCCTCCTCCTCCTCCTTCCTCCTCACCCTCCTCCTCCTTCCTCTTCGCCCTCCTCCTTCCTCCTCACCATCCTCCTTCCTCCTCGTCCTCCTTCCTCCTCGCCCTCCTCCTCCTTCCTCTCCGCCCTCCTCCTCCTAATTCCTCCTTCCTCCTAGCCCTCCTCCTCCTCCTTTCTCCTTGCCCTCCTCCTCCTCGCCCTCCTCCTCCTTCTTCCTCCTTGCTCTCCTCCAATATATAAGACAACGAAACGTTTTCAGATTCTTTCACACCACTTTCCAGCAACATTTATAATGTATATAAATTATTTTAGGGAATAGTACATAAATTATATAATTAAACATGATATTAGTGTTTAGTGGAATGCATAAGGAGTCAAATTGTGTTAAAAAGAGCGATTTTTAGAAAATTTGGAAAACTACTTTTTTCTGGTCATAGAATAACTAAATGTATTTTGACGGTTTCATTCAGCCATTAAATATCATTCACAATTTATTAATGAATTTTACAAAAAACACCATATATTTTATATTTATACATGTAAAAACTATTTGTAATACATTAGGAACAAAATAGTCGTATAAAAACAATATATTATAAAACCTATGTGTTTGGATTTATGGATTAAAAGTTTCTCAATGGCTCTCTTGCACCATTCTCAATGCAAGTCATTCCTACACCTGTGGGAAGAGATAGACGAACGTTTTCTATATGATTTGTGTTTGCTGGGCTCCTTTGGGACATACAGCCACCCCATCCACCCTCCCTCAAGACATACAGCCACCCCAACCACCCACCATCGGGACATAAAGCAACCCAAAACCACCTCCCTCGGGTCATACTGCCACCCCAACCACCCTCCCTCGGGACATATTGCCACACCCAACCACTCTCCCTCAGGACATACTGCCACTACAATCACCCACCCTCGGGACAAACAACCACCCCATCCACCCTCCCTTGGGACATACAGCCACCCCAACTACCCTCCCTCGGGACGCTTCTCTGTAAGTGTCAATTAACAGTTTGCATTTGGGGATATTTTTCTAATGAATTTATTCAATGTTGTGTAGAGTGAGTATGAGAGTGTGGAGGAAGCTGATTATCTCCGTTAAATTATTTGCTTAATTAGTTTTGGGCTCTGGCTCAATTGTAATTAGCTCAGCGTAATAACATTACCACTGAGTTGCCTTGTGAGAATTACCAGCTTCTATTCATGATTATTTTGTATTTTGTTTATTTAAGGAATTTACCCAACTGCAGACAATTAAAAGCATTTTTTTACCAACAATAATTTGTTTACGCATGTATATTTGCGGATCTGTCAACACGGGTGCTTGTGTTAAAGTGTACTCACCTAGCTGTACTTGTCTAGTTGTGCTTTCGGGGGTTGAGCTTCGGCTGTTTGGTCCCGCCTCTCAACAATCAATCAACGGGTGTCCAGATTTCTGAAGCTATTGAGATCTGATTGATTAATCTGTCCTCTTAAAAATTACGTCTGAATCTGCCGTTTGTCCGTAAGGCCGAAAACAGATGTAATTTTAAAATGAAAGATAATTTAAAATAAATGTTAGATTGCTATCTTTGCCTGTCTTAATCTTTATTGCTAGATATTTGGAGTCCAATTGAAGTCAGATCGATGTTACATGATCTGCCGGCGGCTGAGCGGACAGAACACTGGACTCATGATCCTGTGGTTCCGGGTTCGATCCCGGTTGCAGGCGAGAAACAATGGGCAGAGTTTCTTTCACCCTGATGCCCCTGTTACCTAGCAGTAAATAGGTACCAGGGAGTTAGTCAGCTGTCACGGGCTGCTTCCTGGGGGTGGAGGCCTGGTCGAGGACCGGGCCACAGGGACACTAAAGCCCCGAAACCATTTCAAGATAACCTCAAGATAAGATCTGTGAGTTCGGAGTGATATTGAGCCGAGATCCGCAGAAACTCTTGATGTAGAGTGCTGAAGATGTGCAGAACTCTATAACATGGGATGGTTTGGTTATAGGAGTTCTACTTCTAATTGCCTCTTTATAATTTTCTGACATAATTGGTGCTAACAGGCTAACCCCGTCAGCCGTGGCACCGTCAGCCGTGGCACCGTCAGCCCTGGCACCGTCAGCCCTGGCACCGTCAGCCCTGGCACCGTCAGCCCTGGCTCCATCAGCCCTGGCACCGTCAGCCCTGGCACCGTCAGCCCTGGCACCGTCAGCCCTGGCTCCATCAGCCCTGGCGCCGTCAGCCCTGGCACCGTCATCCCTGGCACCGTCAGCCCTGGCACCGTCAGCCCTGGCACCGTCAGCCCTGGCCCCATCAGCCCTGGCGCCGTCAGCCCTGGCTCCATCAGCCCTGGCGCCGTCAGCCCTGGCGCCGTCAGCCCTGGCACCGTCAGCCCTGGCACCGTCAGCCCTGGCACCGTCAGCCCTGGCACCGTCAGCCCTGGCGCCATCAGCCCTGGCGCCGTCAGCCCTGGCACCGTTAACCCTGGCCCCATCAGCCCTGGCGCCGTTAACCCTGGCCCCGTCAGCCCTGGTCACGTCAGCCCTGGCGCCGTCAGCCCTGGTTCCGTCATCCCTGGCACCGTCAGCCCTGGTCACGTCAGCCCTGGCCCCGTCAGCCCTGGTCACGTCAGCCCTGGTACCGTCAGCCCTGGTCACGTCAGCCCTGGTACCGTCAGCCCTGGCCCCGTCAGCCCTGGTCACGTCAGCCCTGGTCACGTCAGCCCTGGTACCGTCAGCCCTGGTACCGTCAGCCCTGGCACCGTCAGCCCTGGTCACGTCAGCCCTGGCACCGTCAGCCCTGGTCACGTCAGCCCTGGTCACGTCAGCCCTGGTACCGTCAGCCCTGGTCACGTCAGCCCTGGTACCGTCAGCCCTGGTTCCGTCATCCCTGGCACCGTCAGCCCTGGTCACGTCAGTCCTGGCCCCGTCAGCCCTGGTCACGTCAGCCCTGGTCACGTCAGCCCTGGCACCGTCAGCCCTGGTCACGTCAGCCTGGTACCGTCAGCCCTGGTCACGTCAGCCCTGGCACCGTCAGCCCTGGTCACGTCAGCCCTGGCCCCGTCAGCCCTTGTCCCGTCAGCCCTGGCACCATCAGCCCTGGCCCCATCAGCCCTCGTCCCGTCAGCCCTGGCCCCGTCAGCCCTGGCACCATCAGCCCTGGCCCCGTCAGCCCTCGTCCCGTCAGCCCTGGCCCCGTCAGCCCTGGTCACGTCAGCCCTGGCACCATCAGCCCTGGCCCCGTCAGCCCTGGCACCATCAGCCTTGGCCCCGTCAGCCTTGGCCCCGTCAGCCTTGGCCCCGTCAGCTCTGGTACCGTCATCCCTGGTCCTGTCAGCCTTGGCCCCGTCAGCCCTGGCCTCGTCAGCCTTGGCCCCGTCAGCCCTGGCACCGTCAGCCCTGGCCTCGTCAGCCTTGGCCCCGTCAGCCCTGGCACCGTCAGCCCTGGTCCCGTCAGCCATGGCCCCGTCAGCCTTGGCCCCGTCAGCCCTGGCACTGTCAGCCCTGGTCCCATCAGCCATGGCCCCGTCAGCCTTGGCCCCGTCAGCCCTGGCACTGTCAGCCCTGGTCCCGTCAGCCTTGGCCCCGTCAGCCCTGGCCTCGTCAGCCTTGGCCCCGTCAGCCTGAGGAACCCTGATCCCTGCGGACTCCACTGGTGATGTTTCGCTACTCCGAGACCTCACCCCTCATAGTGACTCGCTGTCTTCTGTTGCTTAGGTACTCTCTTATCCTGTGGAGTACCTTCCCTTTCACTTCTGCCTGCTTCTCCAGTTTGTACACTAGTCTCTTATGTGGTAATGTGGCAAAGGCTTTCTGGCAATCCAAAAATATGCAGTCTCCTCAGCCCTCTCTTTCTTGCCTGATTTTTTTGCCTGGTCGTAGAAATCAATCAATCATCTGAGGCATGATTTACCATCACTGAACCCATGCTGATTTTGTGATACAAAGTTCTTCCAGTCCAAATGTTCCATTAGCTTTTTTCGCACAATCTTCTCCGTCACCATGCATGGCACGAAAGTTAGGAACACTGGCCCGTTGTTCAGTGCCTCCTGTCTGTCACCCTTCTTGAATATTGGGACTACATTAGTTGTCTTCCAATTTCTTGGCAGTTCACCAGTAATTTGTTATACGCCATGGTGAGTGGCTGGCACAGAGGTCCTGCTCCTTCCTTCAGTATCCAAGCTGAGATTCCATCCAGGTCTATACCCTTTGTCACTTCCAACTTTAGCAGATGCTTCCGCACCTTCCCACTGCTAATCACAAACTCAACTAGCGCTGATTGGTTAGATATTCTCGCTCCTATTTCTGGGACTTCCCCTTGCTCTACTGTGAAGACCTCCTGGAATTTCTGATTGAGTTCTTTGCACACTTCCTTGTCGATTGCAGTGAATCTGCCTGCCCTTATCATCAGTTTCATTACCTGTTCCTTCACTGTTGTTTTTCTCCTGATGTGGCTGTGCAGCAATTTAGGTTGTCTTTGCCTTGCTCGCTATGTCATTTTCATATATTCTTTCAATCTCTCTTCTCACCCTGACGAATTCATTCCTGGCACTCTGATATCTTTCTCTGCTCTCCAGGGTCCTGTTATTTCTATAGTTTCTCCACGCCCATGAACTTAGTTGCTTTGCTAGCTTACAGCTCTGATTAAACCATAAGTTTTTCGTCTGCACTTCACTTTTTTCCTTTTGGACAGGGACAAACTTGTCTGCTGCCTCAATACACTTCTGCATGATGAAGTCCATCATGCCTTGGGCCGTCTTTCCTCTGAGCTCTGTTTCCCAAGTTATATATGTGTGTCCATGTATGTGTGTGTGTACTCACCTAGTTTTACTCACCTAGTTGTCTCTGTAGGATCGAGCATTGACTCTTGGATCCCGCCTTTCGAGCATCGGTTGTTTACAGCAATGACTCCTGTCCCATTTCCCTATCATACCTGGTTTTAAAATTATGAATAGTATTTGCTTCCACAACCTGTTCCTGAAGTGTATTCCATTTTCCCACTACTCTCGCGCTAAAAGAAAACTTCATAACATCTCTGTGACTCATCTGAGTTTCAAGCTTCCATCCATGTCCCCTCGTTCTGTTACTATTCCGTGTGAACATTTCGTCTATGTCCACTCTGTCAATCCCTCTGAGTATCTTATGAGTGTGTGTGTGTGTGTGTGTGTGTGTGTGTGTGTGTGTGTGTGTGTGTGTGTGTGTGTGTGTGTGTGTGTAATTACCTAAGTGTAGTTACAGGATGAGAGCTACGCTCGTGGTGTCCCGTCTTCCCAGCACTCTTTGTCATATAATGCTTTGAAACTACTGACGGTCTTGGCCTCCACCACCTTCTCACCTAACTTGTTCCAACCGTCTACCACTCTGTTTGCGAAAGTGAATTTTCTTATATTTCTACGACATCTTTGTTTAGCTAGTTTATATCTATGACCTCTTGTTCTTGAAGTTCCAGCTCTCAGGAAATCTTCCCTATCGATTTTATCAATTCCTGTTACTATTTTGTATGTAGTGATCATATCACCTCTTTTTCTTCTGTCTTTCAGTTTTGGCATATTTAATGCCTCTAACCTCTTCTCGTAACTCTTGCCCTTCAGTTCTGGGAGCCACTTAGTAGCATGCCTTTGCACCTTTTCCAGTTTGTGTATGTGCTTCTTAAGATATGGGCACCACACAACCGCTGCATATTCTAGCTTTGGCCTAACAAAAGTTATGAACAATTTCTTTAGTATATCGCCATCCATGTATTTAAAAGCAATTCTGAAGTTAGAAAGCGTGGCATAGGCTCCTCACACAACGTTCTTTATGTGGTACTCGAGTGATAGTTTTCTATCTAGAACTACCCCTTTATCTCTTTCTTTATCAGAATTCTTTAAAGATTTATCACATAATATATAGGTTGTGTGGGGTCTATGTTGTCCTATTCCACATTCCATAACATGACATTTATTAACATTAAATTCCATTTGCCAAGTGGTGCTCCATATACTTATCTTGTCCAGGTCATCTTGAATGGCATGACAGTCATCTAAGCTTCTTATCCTTCCTATTATCTTAGCATCATCAGCAAACATGTTCATATAGTTCTGTATACAACTGGTAGATCATTTATGTAGACAATAAACATCACTGGTGCAATAACTGAACCCTGTGGTACTCCACTTGTGACATTTCTCCAGTCCAATACATTGCCTCTGATTACTGCCCTCATTTTTCTATCAGTCAGAAAATTTTTCACCCATGTTAGAAGCTTATCTGTCACCCATCCAATATTTTCCAGTTTCCAGAACAACCTCTTATGTGGAACTCTGTTGAAAGCCTTTTTTAAGTCCAGATAGATGCAGTCAACCTAACCATCTCTTTCCTGTAATATCTCTCTGGCTCGATCAAGATAGAAACTGAGTAAATTCGATACACAGGATCTTCCAGATTGAAAAACCATACTGTCTGTCTGATATTATATCATTTCTCTTGGTGTTCTACCCATTTAGTTTTGATTAGTTTTTCCAATACTTTCACTATTACACTTGTCAATGATACAGGTCTATAATTGAGGGGGTCTTCCCTGCTGCCACTTTTGTAGATTGGAACTATGTTTGCCTGTTTCCACACGTCTGCTACGATTCCTGTACACAGGGATGCCTGAAAGATCAGGTGAAGTGGAATGCTGAGCTCAGATGCACAATCTCTCAGAACCCATGGTGAAACTCCATCTGGGCCAACTGCTTTGTTCTTACTGAGCTCCATTAGCATATTTTCCACTTCATCTCTAGACACCTCTATACGCTCTATGTTGTTCTCTGGAATTCTTATTGTGTCTGGTTCTCTGAAGATTTCATTTTGTACAAACACACTTTGGAACTTTTCATTTAATGTTTCACACATTTCCTTTTCATTTTCCCTGAATCTTTCCCATTTTCAACCTCTGGATATTATCCTTTACCTTTAATTTGTTGTTTATGAATTTGTAGAATAGCCCCGGTTCTGTTTTACATTTATCCGCTATCCCTTTTTCGAAATTTATTTCTTCTTCTCTTCTTACTGCCATATAGTTGTGTCTCGCATCTTTGTATCGCTGGTATGTTTGGGGGTTTGGCCTCTTCCTATACTGATTCCATTTTTGTGTCTTTTGGTCTCTTGCCCTCTCACAATTTCTGTTGAACAAATCTTGTTTGAATTGAATGGCCAACAAAATGGTATGAATGTTTGTGTGCCTTCCTCGTATATTTTGCAAAATTTGGCATACATTTCATTTACTTCCTTGCCTAGCAACAAGTCTGTCCAATTACGCTCATTAAAAAAAATTCGAAGTTCCCATAGTGACCTCTCCTTAAATCGAGTTTATCAGCTGTTTCAATGTCCCCATTTTCTTCTAGATGATATCTTAATGCATAATCAATGTCTAACAGGACGTGATCACTCTTTCCCAAGGGAGGAGGGTACTGGATGTCAAATATCTCTTCTTCTTTCCTGGTGAATACTAGATCCAGTACTGACGGTACATCTCCTTCCCTCATTCTTGTGACCTGCTTTATGTGTTGATACAAGAATGTCTCCAGAATGAGGCTTACAAATCTGCAGGTCCAAAAAATCTCCGTTCTTGCTTAATAGGCCTCCTAGTCTATGGCTTTAAAGTTGAAGTCCCCAGTATCAACAGTCATGATTTATCTTTATCTGTTTGTACAATAATATCTCTCACGACCATTATGAGGCCCTCTCGTTTGTCATCTAGTTCTTCCTTTGACCATGTGTTGCTTGCTGGTGGGCTGTAGGCATTTAAAATTATCAGCTTATCATCCTGATTCCAGATCTGCAATGCCAATATATCAATATCTCGAGGGTTTCAAATATTAACTCTCTTACCTTCAGGTGTTTTTTTACCAGTACAGCCACTCCTTCCCCCTTCCTAGTTTTCCCTGTCACGTCTCAAAACTGAATAGCCTCTTGGAAATATGACTTCATTTAATATATTTCCTTGAAGTTTCGTCTCTGATAATGCGACAATATCTGGGACCCTAAGCTGAATTATATCGTGCAACTCCAAAGTTTTTGACATCACTCCATCTATGTTGGTATATACAATTTTCAGGAACATGTTCAACTTTCCTTTGGTCTTTACTCCCCCTTCCACTACTGATCTTGTTGCTTTGTTTTTATGTACCATTTCACAAGCTTTCCAGTCCCTGTCACTTTATAGAAAAAAGAATTTTTGTCTTCTTCATTTCTATCCCCTTTTAGACGTTTAGCCTCAATTAGGTTCATTTTCCGTTTTTCTCTGTCTTCCCTGGAAAGGTCTTGTTTTATTGACCAAAGTTTGCCAACCTCTTCACTTTGGACTGTGAGGACAAATAGTCCACAGGACTATATGCAACTGAACTGATAGCTTCGGCTCTCACCTCCTTATGTCCGATCGTGATGGTCAAGCGGAATAAGGTGTCCTGTACATACTAGTTGCGTTACTCCTGGCAGTATGGGTTCGAGTTAATTCTGGGGTGTGAGTTTTAAGTTGCATATAGTCCTGGGGACCATTCAGGCTTTTCGCATTTGTGTTCCTCACGTGTGTCCCAAAGAATGAGGTGATTTGATAAAATGCTATGCCTGAGATTACCATCCAGGTGCCGGCGCGGGGGGGGGGGGGGGGGGTGGTTCAAATAACTTCTCCTTA